AAAAATCCCAAAAAGGAACAGACTCACAGTTGCAATTAGGTGTACCAGATCACGTCGGGCTCACCAGTGATGATGTCACAGGTATTCAGTGTTTGACAACGCTTCTACCAGTAACACCTTCAAATGTATTTCGTTCCCACCCAGAGAAATCAAAAGACAGAGTCGAGGAGATCGGAAGAGTGTATTTGGCGATTACCAATATATCGGAATTCTCTGATCTAATCTGGCTAGCGATTGCGGTAGATGTTGAGCACGGCGTTACCACACGTGATCTGGTGCGGATGCATGACCGAGCGCCTTCAGCTAGATGAGTCCACTAAAACATATGGTCAGCATCCAATGTCGAAAACTTAGAGCTATTTATTTTGGGGATTTATTACCGCTACTAGACTTTGAACATGTTTTATGTGCGTTGGGACTTATGCGAGTACACCTCATATGGGACCGATTTTGCACCCATCACATTGCGTTCCGTCATCTAGGGGGTAAAACAGTTTCACTGTCTCCATTTATAAGTACTTGTAGTGTGGCGTCTGGTCGGTCGTGATTGACAATGATCTCCACTGCAGGAAGACTACGTGCCAGTTAACCGATAAGATCCCCCGTAAGCCAAATATCAGAAGGCAGTTGATGGCTGTAGTCGAGATCTATTTGTTGGCGATCTAGTGGAATCGAAAGAATACTGAGATCATGCTAGGTTACAAGTGTGGTGGCAAGGTTTAAACGTTAGGTCCTTTTGAAATGTGCCCGCCCTTTCGTTTCAACGACCTTGAACGGCTTGATTAGAGGCGGTCATTCCGTATTTCAATTGCCGTGGGTTGGTTGGATTGCATGAGTACCAAGTTTTTTCATATATAAGTCATGTTATGCTACATAAAAAAGCACGAAATAAATACCAAAACCATTAATTTAGCGTTCTCTGTTTTGTAGTGTACACGTTGGCTCTGTTGTTGCTTTGTAATTTGATCTTTGATCCCAACAACTGTAGTAAAGCTCAACGAAATGTCAAGTCACAGGTAAATCCTAAGTATTTGTAGTATTTTCTTGGGTTATTATTGTCGCAAGGAATAACCTTTTAATAATTAGTCATTTCTGTTTTTAGTGCTTCATGCTCAAGTGACATTTCAGTCGACCTAACCGATGCCTTTCGAAGTATGATACTGAACAAGCGTTTCGTCTTGTGGGATGATTTTGAAAGCGCCTTAAAAGAGTTCCAAAAAGTATGGAATTATAGTTTTATCGCTTCTCAGACTACTTATACTCGTTACATCCACACAGAAAGCAGATTGCTGAAGGATGTCAGGTTCAAATACCTGTTTGTATCGTTTAATTGTACGTTTGGTCATCAGCGGAAATCGGAAGGTTTGAAAGTGAGGCAAAAATCGTAAGATCTGTAACTAATATCTTATGTTTAAGGTCTAAATTCCGTAATTGTCGATCTAAATTTCGTGTAAGACTAGAGGAGCAAGGATATGTCATCAAATCCTACAACATGCTCCACAATCATCCATGTAGTAGTTCATGGATGGTATGTGATCCATTGACAAGGAGATTATCGTCAGAAGAAAAAGAGAACTTGAAGCCCGTAATACTTCACTGTGAGTCAGAAGATGCTCCACAGCGTCTTACACCCCTGCTAAACATTTTGAACCCATTCGCTAGATCTAAATTGTTATACGAACTTAAACAAATGCGTTTTGTCTACGTGGAATATGAAAGCGGTGATTGGTTGTTTATGGTTGATCGCGGACAACATTATGAAGTTGATATAAGCATTTGTCAATGCAATTGTAGCACGTTTATGATGTGCCGATATCCCTGCCGTCACATGCTACTTGCCTACGTTAAAAGACGAAATCTTACAGGTAAGCTATATCAATTATGAAATACTAACTGCATAGCTCATCAACTTCTTAGGTATTGTAGCAGATGGAAGTTACATAATACCCAGAACTTCCAAAATTATACATTAACTGCATTAACACGACGGAGTGAAGTGTATATAAGTATTCAACGAAGTCAAAGAATCCATAAGCAACGCATCATTGAGAAGTATGGTGAACGTTTCGCAACGGAAGTTGAGAAGAAGGTGGACAATTATTACTTAAAAATTCTTAATACTAACTTGTAAACTTGATTTTCTGCTTTAGCAGCAATGATTATTCAATAAACTGTCATAATTTTAATTTTCATCTTATTCCTAGTTTCATGGGAATAAATAGCAATGACGTTCATGTGTAACTGTTTGTAATAATTAAGAATGATTCAGAAACCCTACATCCACGTACAATCTTGCAGATTAGGCACCCACATATCATATTCTCCTTCGTCGGATTACGTTTATAATTAAAATCGTATCAGTAGCTAAGATTTTAATTCCATGTGATTAGTTCCGCTTATGAATTAAAATGAAACCAGGATAAATGTTGATTAACAGTGGTAGTCATTCGTTATAACTAAATATGCATTAGGATTTAACAGTGATGTGGGAAACAGTTGACATACCTTAATATGAATAATTGAAATGACGTGGGTTATCAATAATGACTAGATATATATATATATATATATGCAGTTTAAGGTCAAAGGTCATTTGTTTTTACAGTCAATAACACATTAAGAATGGGTGGTGTAATAGTGGACTGGAGTTCACAGACAGATAAGTGGTGTGAAAATCTATGGGCCTATAAGTGATCCGTGGATTTAAGAACTGAAAACTTGGGTCACGTAATAACTTATTACAATTTGAAGAGGTCACATAATTACAGAGGATTAAGTGAGCAGATGTAAGTGACAGGGTGCTGGAATAAATCGGCAACTAAATTTTAAAAGTGAAATGAATTAATACATAATCCATCTTATTACTTGTTCACTCCATGGATTATAAGGAGTTCATATTATTCTATATCTATATTTGTTCTAGCGTCATATCGACTATTAATAAAGACGGACACGGTTTATAAAGTAAGACAATAAGTGTAGTTGCTATATTTATATTTCACTAATTCATTAGTTGAATAAAAATGTTACTAGGCAATACGGAACACAGTTAACGTGAACATGTAAACCGTTTTTTAACAAATTCTGTAAGTTGTAGACCGGCGTAAACATCACAAACCTGTGACGACTTTATTGGATTCATACAATTCTGAAAAACAAACAAATCAGTTGTGAAATAAAGAATTAGACCTAGTTATAAGTATCACATTCAATAAGTACATCAAATAGCAGGTTACAGAATGTACCTATAAGTCTCTTATTTGCAGACAGCGCTAATCATTAGAGATTTCTATTTCCTTTAATAATAATTAATAGGTAATCTTTACAACACACAAATCAATGTTATTTAAAAATTGCTGAAATCAGTTTCGTCACAACAAAGAAGCGTGGTCTGAATTATGAAGAAAATGTTATTCATTAATGTGGCATAAACGAGATATGAATACAAGGAACTTGTGATTCTGCTTCCATTGCTCATTCACTTTTCGTCCCGTTGTCTGCATGAATTACTTCGGACGAGTCAGTCTGTAATACAGTAGGAATTCATGAATTAACTCATGAATAGTTGTTTTTTATTCAAGTCTGTGTCGTAACAAGCACTGGGAATTTATTCAGTGTCTAACCCTTGTATTATTTCGTACATACATCTGGTATTAGCAAGAAAAATTGGTAAGTACCATTTAGATATTACTCGACAACATGCATCATAAGTTTGTTCACATTTTCGTCTGAGACTGTGCATTTCGTTTAAAGAAAATTATTCGTCAACCCTATAACAGACACATCATGAATCAATATTAAGTACGACATGGTTTTGTCACCATGCTCAGAAGAGACAGCCATCGTTTCACTTATGAAGATTTTGTGCCTGTTTAATGTGGTGTTATACACTGTTCCTGTATACGTTCAGAAAGCCGGTAAAAAAGACTATCAACACCAATTCTTACTCACATAATTTTTCTCTGATACGTTACACAATAATATGTCACTTCAATACCAAACAATGCTACCTTTAGTGCAAATAACCTTTTATGGCTAAATACAAACAATTTATATAAAATCCATAGTTAGTTTAATGCTTACTTCTTTCTGATAACATCTTATAAACGACTGCGAACATCTATGTTTGCTGTCACCATAATCAAGGAGGTGAACCATATATGATGCTTTTCACGGCTTATTTTCATGAAAAGTCAATCTGTTTTCTATTTTTCACTAGAAAAATGGTGATTTGACTTGTTTGACCTTGTATTATTAAAAAATAACCATATTACGCCAACTGCATGTTTACTTAGGTGGTGAGCACAAAATACGTCAAACTGCTTATAAATTGAAATAAATACTATCTTCCAATCACAAAGATTACGAGAAGTCCCGTATGATGGAAAAAAGGCTGTTAATAGCTGATAAATAACGAAATATAAAATCCACGACAATATGTTACATGTGCGCGAAAACCCGTAAACTAACACGCATAGTGTGCCAGTGTGGTTACTGAGCATAACCAAATTCATGCAAGGTCACATTCAATGGAAGAAAGTATGTTTTGGTACAGTTAAACAAGCAGGTACAGTGAAAACAGTCCCTGGTACAATTGGTTATAATAATAATTGTTTCCATTACACCAATCTCGCTCTCTTGATAAAAGTGGGTCACTACATGCTGTTGACCATTGTGAATATATTGAAAGCACAAAAATTCGACAAAAATGTACAATCTAATCGCTAGTGTCAGAACCAACTAAAAAACAGAGTACTACAAGACGGGCCTGGAGAAAATTCTGAACGTCAACCGAAATAATTCAAGTTTAAAGTAGTCTAATTTCACATTTGATCTAATAAATGCACAAGAGCAAAGTTAATGCATAATAAGTAGTCAATTCGCGCTTTTTTGAAACGCACACTAATACTTTACTGTTCAAAGGAGCTATCTGTCTAACATCGTTAGTGTATTGGTTGAGTTTAATTAGTACTGAAAAACTAGCGAAAATACATCAGAACATGTTAAAAGGATATCTCAAAGGTGTTGTAGACCTAGTGAAGTAAACTATGAAAATGTAGTCCTCATATTTATTAATTTTTAGCAATCTAACTGAACCAGCTGGTTCAGACGAAAATCTAACTTCTGGTGATACTCCGGAAGTTCTTGGGGAAGGATTTAAAGATCAGTAAGTGTCGATGTTATTATGCCAACTATTCAGGGATAACGGTAGTTCCAATAGACCACGAACACTTAATTCTGTGCCCAACTCACAGAGCGTTGACAATTCGGAATCAAGTAGTGTACTTAGTTGGATTGGAAGTTTAATAGCAGCCAATGGTGAGGTGAGAACTCTCTTTTAACTCTTTCTTATAAATGAATAAGCAACCTGCTAGTGTCTTGACTAGTTTTCTTAGTTGTTCTTAGTTTATTATTTATTTAAACACAAACATTGGTACAAGGAGGCACCAAATAGATATGCGCCACATAAGTCATTCGATTTGTGTGAAAGCTGGGATACTGCCCAGGTACCCAAACCGAAGCAGGAGTTTTCTTAGATTTAGCTTGTTTGTATTTCATCAGTAGTTTTGGAAAGCTTTAGGTTTTTTTCAGTAGAATTAACGGGATGATTATTCCTCGGATTCTGATTTTTGAAAAACACTAAAGTTCTCATCATTTTGGGATGATGGGTCAAGTACTTAACCTTTGCAACAAAATTCAGTAGTACTTCAGACAGTTTTTAGTGAACCAGGCTGAAGTCTGGTAATCTGGATAAACTGTTCAAGGAGGTTACACTTACAAATTCTGATAAGAATAGTCTGTCAAGCTCATATTCAAGGCAGAATACGAACTATTCTAGATTCCGTTATTGAAAAAGTGGACGAGTTCCCCATTAACGTTCATGCAGAGTAACGTAAGATACCTGCCAGAACTTATCATGATATTGTCAACATAAATTCGTTGGATAATATTGATTGTAAGTCGTAATATGTACCCCACCTGGCTGCTTCGTGTGTGTTTATAATGGTGTCTATAAAGGAACAAAAATAACGAAGAAACCTTAGTAAGCTTTGTTTTACGTATTTCACAGTTGCATGTTAAAGTAAATTTATGTTATCGCAAAGCAATCTTCTTAAAAAACTTTTTACCATTCTAAGTAAGTAATATCATACTGATCCAAGTGTGCTCCGTTTAGTTTTGTATATTACAACACGGGCATGTTCCAGTCTTTGTAATCTGACATTAAAGTGCGAAGTTCAAATCAGTCATCTAGATAGTGTTCTTCCGTGTTCAGACACCTAGCCGTCACCCACTTATGCTACATTATCCTGGAAACATATCTGGTTGAGATTACCAAGTTAATAGAAATGATATTCCACTACGACTAATTTGCAATACGTGGGACCGTAGGCAGATGTAAACATTATTTTTCTCTCTCCAAATTCTTACTCTACATGAGTATTTCAGTTCAACAGTACAAACGACCGTTATTAGAAACTCCTTTAAGGAGTGCTATGTTCACACGATTGAAGCAGATTATCTATGTCACACTCCCTATGTGGGCACAAGGTAAATACTTTGAGTCAATAATCAGCTTTTTGTAGTTTGTCACCGGGATGTTGAATACGAGTGTATAAAGTCTTCAGAAACCCAGATAAAGCTTTTCTTTGTTTGATCTATATTAAAATGCAAAATCTGAATGGAACAAGTCCAAGTCCCATACACGTTACTAGAATAGCTGAATGAGGTTTAAAATTACATGAAAGTATCCGTTTAGTAACTCTAAACGATATAATTGAACGGAAACTCAATGGTTAACTACAAAATGAAGTTGGCAAAAATGGAAGGGCAAAAACTACGTAAATTTATTGGAAGATTTAATAAATGAATTGCATTTTAGTTAGTGTTAGATCTCAAAAAGCCACGTGATTGCTTCTTAACCCTGGTTTTTCATGTTATCGTAATTGTTTTATGGACTTTGACGCTGCTGAAATATTAAATTCACAAAGCATCCAAACCTTTGGTTTAAAAGTTTCGGGAGTTTCTCCCTCGTAATATTTAATGGTGTTGTGTTGAGCTATGTATTTAGGCACTAGATTGTGAAATCGCAATTATCGTAACTAGTGGTTGAAAATACAATAGGACATGATCGAGAATCGGCACAATGGCCCAGAAACAGTCATTTCCCTTAGGTATCAACTCTCATTTTTGTCATAGAATCACAGTGTTTATGTCTAGTCTTTTCCACTACCGCTGAAGCTGTTACTGTTTCTCCTATAGCATTTGCCTTAATAATTTCATCTCTGCGTTGAAATGGTGTGACAGTTTAGATCGATGCACATATGCGCCATATTCTACTTATGACTGACCTATATTTAGTAGTCAAAGAAGGTTGCTTTTGGATGCTGTTGTCCAGTTAAAAAGTCGGGATTTGACAGTTCAAGGAAAATTGATGGTACTTAATTATCTAGTTGAATAGTTTAGTCTACAATCTCTCTCCCTTTTGTGGGAAACCTCCACATAAAGAGAGTAAGTGAATGTTTCCTGTTTGCAACTACAAATCAGGTAAACAAGTGTTTAAAATGGTGATTCATAACTACCCTAGGTTAACGACTATACAGCTCATGTTTTTGGGCCGTTATTTTCTAGTGTTTTATTTTCCCGGTGTTATTAACATTCCATTTTGTCGACTCAGCATGTGATGTTTAGTAAGCTTGACAGTTCTGATTATCATTTGATTTTTGTGGGCTAGGGTACTACTTGGATGCTCAAATCGAAGCAGGCGATTTTCTTAAAGGACCTCTCCCGAAGCCTTTAACCTGTAGGTCTAGTCCACAAACAAGTGGGGCAACGTTAGGGGATGTGGTCCCATGGTAGCTGGTGACCAAGAATAGGTTAATAATTCATTTCTCCCCTCAGGATCTTGGAGCCCATATGGACTATGGTTCGGAGTCAGGGTTTTCCAAATCCCCTAGGTGGATCATCCGAACCCACCAACCAGGTTTAAGCGTCGGGTATCCGCTTTTCGTCCTCTCGATTTCGTAAACAACACCTCCACGGCGAGAAGGCAATGATTAAAACTTCCCTGACAGCGGCTTTATACGTGTACATGCCGTACCAGGGTATTTGGGGGCTGGCTTCTGCTCTGGGAGTAGAACCTGGACCCCCTTGATGAGAGACAGGAATCCTAACCTGTACTCACTCCTGGTAGAAACCAGTTAGGAGTAGTCAAGGATTTTCATGTATCTAGATAGCTGTGTAAGTGCTGGTGGCGGCGCGAGTGACGAAATCAATTCACGTACAGTGAAAGCTAAGGTGGCCTATACTGATCTGGGCAGTTTTCGGCGCCTTCGTGATGTTAGTCTGGCTATAAAAGGTTGGATCTACAACGCGTCTGTGAGAGCAGTCTTGCTCTATGCTTGTGAAACCTTGCCTCTCCGAGTTGAGGACGTTAGACGACTCTCTGTGTTCGATCATCGTTGTCTCCGAAGAATTGCTGACATCCAGTGACAACATCATGTTAATATTGCAGAGGTTCGGCATCGTGTGTTCGGGTACAGAGACGATAATGCAATTGGTGTCACCATCTTGAAACACCGACTTCGGTGGGTTGGACATGTTCTACGAATGTCGTCCCAGAGAATTCCACGTCGTGCATCATTTGCCGACTCTGGGACCGGTTGGAAGAAGCGGAGAGGTGGTCAGTGCATGACATGGTGTCGTGGTATGAAAGAAAGCTGCAAAGGACTGGCTTGTGTTGGTCCTTCACGACTCCCTGGTTGGGGTCCGAAGATGATGTAACACAGTGGCTTGAGACGTTATCAGATATGGCTCCGAATAGAAGCCAGTGGCGATCATGCTGTAACCTTCTTTTACTTTCTTCATAAAAAGTGGTTGTATCTTCCTTAACTGAAAGATTTCTTCTGATTGTACCTTTCCGTTGCCTCATTATTACTACACTACCTTACACCAACCTCTTCGTTATTGTTCCTTTTTTTCACGCTCCTTATATTTTTTTCTTCTTTCTCTTCAAATTCTCATTGTTTTGTGTGGTGCATGTATATTGGCGCAATCCTGTACCAATATATATCTGTTCAAATAAATAAATAAATAAATAATTCTTATTATGCATACCTTCCTCTATCTCTTCACAATTTTATTTTTACTGTGTGTCGCATATGTATTTTGGTGTTCCCTTGTACCAATATTTATGTGTTTAAATAAAAGTTTGATAACTGAAACTGGTATACTTCCAGCTTTTGCAATTTCTATGTTGGTCTGAGGGATACTTTTAGTAAAAATAGTTTCTTATTAGAATTTGAATTATGTGGTTATCTGGTATTAGGTTAAGTAAATCGTTTTCTGTTTCTAATGAGAATGATTTACTTTTGTTGTGTAATTCAACCACTTTTCCATTTGTCTATTTCTACAATTGTTAAATAATGAATATATGGTTTTATCCTGTCTTTTTTTACGCGTTTTAGAACTCCATGTTGTTCTATGTGGACTCTCTTGCATCTATGGAGATGTAAGTTATTTTTTACTTAGTATTTTCTTTCACACTAGAAATCCAAATGATGATAATGAAAAACAAACTGATCAGGAATCTGAAAAATCATTAGTTATAACCGAAGATATTTCGAAAATTGAAGCGTATGTTGGACTATTTCATACTTATTCCAATCTAATTCTATTTCATTAAGACCTGAAGTGTCTAAATCACAAGAAGATAACAAATTGATAACCCATAATATAAATTGTGATTGGACGGATAAATTTTCAGTCAAAACTTCACATGTAAGTTTATAAAAATCAGAGATATATGGTAATGTTATCAATAATACTCATTTTTGTGTACAAACATAAACGTTTATTCCTTCCTGAAATATTTTTGTCATTTGACCACCCTTAATTTGTGAATATTAATTCTGTATTACAAATATTGCAATTATAAGCTCAAAAGTTTTGTGAAATCGACTACAGTTCACACCAGTATACGGTCATGATCCGGTTGATATAAGTCGACCAACAATATTACCAGGTTTCTTAGTTGTACAGATATGATAGATAAACTAACAGAACTTTTGTGGTTGAGTTTACGATGAGTAATACAAGCGTATGTCACTTCAAAGAAATGTAATTTCTAACCAGAATACATCAATTCCAAGTACAGCATTTACGACAGGGAATTCACATTGATAGTCATGAATCAAGTAAACACACAGTTAAGATTAGCAGATTACAATGTTTATGTGTGATTATATATGGAGGCGGTGTCACTGTAACGTTATATGGATTGTGGAATGGTGGATTCCACATCGTTTACCACAGAGGGGAAATATAATAGCGTAGACCGTAAAACATACACTTTTGTTTCTGCGTGCATTGAAATTTTTTGAAAAGAACTTCACCAACAATAACTATATGCCTACTTATCCATAATCGGTACCAGTTAAAATAGTGACGAATACCAGTGATGTTATTGAAGATGATTAAAAAATGCCATTGGTTTTAAAATGTAGATTTTTTTCTCCGAGAAATAGTTAATTTCTCAGTACTTCTCAAATAAATCCAACCGTACAGCGAGCGCTGTCTGTAATTTATTAACTCCATACCTAACATTCAAAAGACCCTGACCTTCTGCAAATGCTGTTGGAAAACCCTTTTACTTGAGCTATGAATATTTCTCACTTTTCCAGAGACATCAGTTACTGTCATCTTAATTTTATTGTGTGGGTGTTAGATTTGCTTTTTCTATAATAGTCGTTTTCCCAGCTAGAAATATTTTTAAGAGGCAGCATCAGTGTTCTGACATTTTCACCCTTCCCCCCTCATATACGGTTATTGATGAACCCAATTACTCAAATTGCTTAGTTCTATGGATTACTTTTTCCAACCGAAGCTCTTGACGGTCGAAGATGGATGACATGGCGCAAAATTAGTCTCAGTGACTCATAAACACTGTTTTTTATCTTCCTTTAAATTTTAGAATAAGTGTCACTTCCGATTTTCCATCCATCGATTGCAATTGTTCTTTTTGAACTGTACTTCCTATGTATGGATTTCCATCCATCTATCTATAGCAAACACAAACTTTAAACATAAAGAATGATATTGTCCAACATAGTGTCCCCTGAAATCGGCTTAACGATATATAAAATAGACCATATTGCCATCAGTCATCGTGGGAGAGTCTCAATAAAAGAATGCCGCTTATTCTAGAACATATGTTTAGACTTTGACCATTCTTTGGTGCCTGGGTCTTACTGGATGTAGGAAAGCCACATCTTAACGATGAAAAAGTCAAAAATATATTTCAGGAACAACTAGAGAAGTAGTTAATTAATCATGAAAGTGATGTCCACCGTGGGGTAGCCTAGCGTGATATACAAATAGCAATGAAAACAGCAGTGCGATTTATCAGTAACCTAAACCAAAAGGTTAAGTAATATCACTGGGTTTTTGTAGCATCGATAGATGCTCTGAAACTCATCCCATCGGGCTCTGAACACTATAGAGTGAAGGAAAATTAAAAATAGGCTAACAAAAGCCCGCACAATGATCGTGAGCAGTGGTGGCCAGCAAAACCAAGAAATGGAAAAGGCAACATCAGTAGGTAACCGTGGATGAATAATTAGGCTCATCAAGGAAATGGATATTAAAATCCCTCTGTTATTGAGACGATCTCGGAAAATGGAGGACTGTTATTTATTCTCGGTCCAGGAGATTCGATCGATGGATGAAACATTTTAAGGAATAGTTCAACTGACTTCCAACCAAATATTCAATATACAAACATGCCCCCAAAAGCCCTGGTACGGCCGAGAGTGGGGAGAGTCCGCTCCCCCTCTCGAAATGCTCTTACATGGCCACGCGTATATAGCCTCTGCCAGGGAAGTCCTACTCACTGCCTTCTGACACCACGGGTGTTGTTTACGAAAATGAGAGAACGAAAAGCGAATGTTCGGCGCTTTAATCGGGGCGGTGGACACGGTGAGTCCACCTAGGGGAGATGGAAAACCCTGATTCCAAACCAATGGTGCACATGGACTCCAGTATCCTAAGGAAACAAATGGCGTATGAACCAATTGTTGGTCACCGGCTACCATGGGACTGCATCTCCTTACGATGCTCCACTGCCTTGTCGATCAGACCTTCAGGTCGAAAGCTCAGGGAGTGGCCCCCTAAGGAAACCACGTGCTTTGGTTTGGGCATCTGGGCAGTATCACACCTCTCACACATATCGAATGAGATTTGTGTGGCGCATATGTATTTGGTGCCTCCTTGTACCATTATCTGTGTTAAAATAAATAAATAAAATACAAACATACTTACCAACCCACAAATCAAATGACTTGTGTGGCGCATATGTATTCGGTTCCCCTTTCTACCAATACTTATGTGTTCAAATAAATAAAATAAAGCCCCGACTATAGTTGTATACTTTAACCTTAAGTCGACGTTCATTTCCATTGACTGAGAGGTTCTATGGCAGTCTGTTGTTAAAAGATTTACTAAAGAGATGGACCAACCTTGTACAGACTTCCCACCCAAACAATACTGGTCGAATCAGAGCTTCTTGACTGTCATTAGCATTGCCAACCTCGAGTGGTGATCGTCAGTGTTATTTACTTTTCTCCACTTCTACTCAACTTTGTCATAGACGTCATTTTGGAGATAATGCTCTCACCGTCTGACTTTTCAGCGGTTGGTCTTCCACTGGGGGACTCAGTTGTTGATCTAGAAAACGCAAATGTTATATCTGTTTGGTAGGGACGCTGAAAAACAGCCTTCTGATCTCCTTAAGAAACGAAGTAAGCATGTTGGGGATGTGTTCTCTGTACAAATGCAAAACGTTGTTTCAGAACTGGTTTATGTCAACGCCTTGATCAATGATGGGGAGCGAATTAGTTGAGCCTGCCGACTATTTCAATTATCTAGGATGTCTCAAAAGCCTTGGTAAGTTGGTGTCTGGAGAAATCTCGGTGTGGGTTCAGAAAGTGTGGCTGGATTTTGTCAACTGGTGTCACTTGTGGCGTAGGTGAGATACCCGTCTACCAACCAAAGGACGAGCTTGCTGCTCAGCAATTCGATCTGTTCTACTTTATTGATGTGAAGCATAACATTAAAAATAAAGGGTACTCATAGGTTCATAGTGTTCAATCTTGGATACGTTTGAATCACTCCTTGTGTATTTTGGGACATCGGGTACTAAGTAATGATGACAAGTTGAATAATCAGGCCGTAAATCTTCATTATCTGGGGAGTAGTTAGGACATGTATTACTCATCGAAGCCCGTCGGTCTACTCCGGGTGACCGTGAGTTTGGCCACAAACGAAGGATGTTACGTATGGAAATTGGGAAAAGCTTGCGTAAGGACCGAGAAGCCTGGTGGTCAGTGCGTGCTTATGAGCTGGAAGCAGCAGCTGCATCTGGAAATTACCGGAAGCTCTTCCAACTCATCCGAGCCACTGGCAGCAAGAAGTCTGGTGTGAGCGGAACAATCTGCGAGGATGACGGGATGCCAATCACTAACATCCATCGACGTCTTGGACGATGGGCAGAATTTTTCGAAGGGCAGTTCAAATGGCCTGCTGCTCCGGCAACATCAGTCAAACTGTCCTGCCCTCCATGGCCGGTGACGACTGATCCACCAAATGAGGCGGAAGTCCGCAAGGAACTCCAACTCTTGAAACGCTACAAATCATCTGGCCCAGATGACTTACCTACGGCTCTTTTAAAGATGGTGGTGACTTTCTGACTAAGGAATTGACGACGTTGTTTACAAAGGTTTGGGAGCTAGAGAGTGTACCAACGTCATGGAATGAGTCGATAGTTGTCCCTATCTTTACAAAGGGTTCACGTCGTTCCTGTAACATCTATCGGGGGATAAGTCTACTTCCGATTGCGTCCAAGCTATTGGCTTCCATCATACTTCGTAGGCTGTTCAAAACCCGAGAAAGATTGACTCGCGAGGAGCAGGCTGGGTTTCGTTCTGGCCGAGGATGTATTGATCATATCTTCACCCTCCACCAAATGTTAGAACACCGCCATACTTATCACAGGCCAACAATCGTAGTGTTTCTTGACATCAGGGCTGCCTTCGATTCGTTGGATAGGACTGTTCTCTAGGATTGTCTATTGAAGAAGGGTGTGCCTGAGAAGTTTATTAACATCCTAAAAGCCCTATATACAAACACCTCAGACAGAGTGAGGGCATACAACCACCTCTCTCCATTGTTCCATTCGAGCAGTGGGGTTAGGCAGGGTTGCCCAATCTCACCATTCCTCTTCAACTTTGCCATCGATAACATTCTGGAAACAGTTCTGATGGATGTAAGTAATGACGGCGTAGATCTGTTGCTTGGAGAAAGACTTCTCGACCTTGAGTATGCGGATGATATTGTGAGTGATGAGATCAATGCACGTATAGTGAGAGCCAGAGCGGCTTATGCCAGTCTGGGCCACCTTTGGCGCCTTCGTGGTGTTAGTCTGGCTGTAAAAGGTCGGATCTACAACGCGTCGATAAGAGCAGTTTTGTTCTGCACTTGTAAAACCTGGCCTCTCCGAGTTGAGGACGTTAGACGACTCTCTGTGTTCGATCATCGTTGTCTCCGAACGATTGCTGACATCCAGTGGCAACATGATGTTAGTAATGCAGAGGTTCGGCATCGTGTGTTCGAGTACAGAGACGATAATGCAATTGGTGTCACCATCTTGAAACACCGACTTCGGTGGGTTGGACATGTTCTACGAATGTCGTCCCAGAGAATTCCACGTCGTGCATCATTTGCCGACTCTGGGACCGGTTGGAAGAAGCGGAGAGGTGGTCAGTGCATGACATGGTGTCGTGGTATGAAAGAAAGCTGCAAAGGACTGGCTTGTGTTGGTCCTTCACGAATCCCTGGATGGGTCCGAGAGATGGTACCACACTGTGGCTTGAGACGTTATCAGATATGGCTCCGAATAGAAGCCAGTGGCGATCATGCTGTAACCTTCTTTTACATTCTTCATAAAAAGTGGTTGTATCTTCCTTAACTGAAAGATTTCTTCTGATTGTACCTTTCCGTTGCCTCATTATTACTACACTACCTTACACCAACCTCTTCGTTAATGTTCCTTTTTTTCACGCTCCTTATATTTTTTCTTCTTTCTCTTCAAATTCTCATTGTTTTGTGTGGTGCATGTATATTGGCGCTCTCTTGTACCAATAATTATGTAATCAAATAAATAAATAATACATGTATTACGTATTCGCAGTTATGGCTCACATCGATAAGCGATGTTGTCCAATGTAGGAGTAGGTTTAAAGAAAGTTAGGGGGTGGCCAAACTGAAACGTAGCATTAGTCCAGAGAGTCGTTAGATATTAGACTGAACCATCCATACAGGCGCAGATTATCTTGTTGAAGTCCACAGGTCTGTCATAATCACTGGTTATAGGTTGTGCGATACAGCACAAAATCCGTTAGTCTCTGAATTTCAAAGTTCCTTTTACCCACATCTAATCTTTCATGCCATTAATGATACTGTTACTAATGCTGCTATCCTGTGAATTTGTCATTATAACTTTTCTCGCTGTCCTAATGTTGTGTAGGAACTTGAACGGTCGCATGCATGATGTTGGAGTTTTAACTTATTCCTTTAATCATATGACTTTCAACAACTGGGTCACAGGTTTTAGTCCCACTATAACTGTGGAGTATACTACTTATGCAGATATAAGCAGTGTGTAACACTAGTGGGAAGTGGAATGTCTGCCAGCAGAAGGTTGAGGACATTTAAGTGAATAAAAGAGGGAAGGGAACTGAAAGCAATAAAGATAAAAATAGAAATGAAGAAATAATGAAGCTTGCAAGCGACAATCCAAAGATATGCAAGCGATGTATTTGATGTACGAGTTTCACATTTTACTAAACCAATTTGTGATTGTGCATTAAACAATAAATTGGTTATCCCTATCTGATTATTCGATCACCACACAGCCACTGAAATTTAGACCATAGAACAATGTCTGTGCTCACAAAATAGATTGTGGCCAAATTTTTATGGTCGCTCACTCCCAGAACCGTAGTTTCAGCTGAGCGTCCACTCTCCTTTTCAAAACCCTTTCATACGATCATACGTTTATAGCCTTTTTCAGAGAAGTTCTGCTCATTGCTTTCGCGTAGTATTATCCTCACGTAAAAAGTACTGTTGGATTGGGTTTGGTAGATATGAAGGGTGCAAAGTAGGCAGACACTGATTTCAAACCGGTGGTATAAATGTGGTCAAAAATCCTGAGGAGACAAATACCATATAAACTTCCTCTGATCACCATGAAATTGAGTCCCCTAACACTACTCCACTTCTTTGCGAACTAGACCTTTATATCAAGAGCTCGAGTGAGGGTGTTTCCATAACAGACTGCCAGCCTTCTCGAAACTCGAGGAATAATCATAGCCCTCACATGGCTGACAATGATTAATGGTGAGGACAACATAAATCACGAGCCAATAACCTTGTCTTTTAAATCAGACAAAATAGATTCTATTTTGTCTGATGGTTCTACTTACTAAATTTTGTTGATTAATTCTTCAAATCCCATTATACTGTCAGTTTATACCGTGCTTGACAGTGTAAAGCAAACATTCTTATATCACAAGCTTTATTCTACTGATTCTCTTTATTTTACTATAGATATTTCACTCGATATGATTTTATTGGTGAATTAATATTTCTGCGCTCAATTCATTGTTTTCAGTCCTATCAGGTTGACACATGTATCAGATGCAGTTTTATGCTTTTATACACTGCCACAATGTTCAAATTTTAGAATTTGTTAAAAAGACATGGGTAGTTGCCCTTCATAAATGTTAGAATTTACCTTTGGTTGATAAGAAATTAAAAGCAGGGAAAATTCACGTTACTTATTACTTATAAAATTCAGCTTTGTTTATCCAACATTTCAACATGTTCTTCAACACTAAGGCGTTGGTATATGCACGGAGGATGATGTGAATAATGAATTTATACCACAATTGCCATTATTTCATTTGTGTTCGAGGATTTCATATCTCCAACAAATCTGTACCTGGTAAATTAATTGAATAAATAGATTAATTGTTCTGTATGAATTTGTTCGACCAACTCTGCAATAATAATTACGATGAAGTCACCGATCTCCTTATCTTTCCTTATATTGTTTTTAATTAAGGTTTGGGAACAGATTAAAAAGGATTTTAATGAAGTTGTTCATTCTGTCTCTGAACCAAAAGATATTGTATATCGTACTGCTTTTTCAGTTCGTGATCGTATCACAGCTGCTGCAAATACAGTAAAGAACCTAAATCCTAATGAATTTCTTTTGCCGGATAATGAATCGGAAACTGATCAACAGTTTACAAAGAAGGGAAATATCGTTAATGATGGTAAAAATAGAGCTTTATATGATTATTTTGAAATTGATCTTTGTATGGTTGATTCTTGTAATAATTAATTGTAGTATTTTTAATATGTTGTAAAGAATATAACTGATCCTAACGTACCAAACGATAGTTATTTCTGTGTACGCTGATTCTAAACTCCGTGTAGAGTTATAGAATGTTCAAGGTAAGATAATTGTACTGAAGTACAAAGTTTTAGGGGTTATTTACTGGCTGATATGTTTCAATTTGCAATCAGCAGTTTGAACGTCATCGTACTTATATACACCTGTCACACTCGTGGAGAAGCATAGGCCGCCCACTAGCATTCTCCATCCAACTTTGTCCTGGACAATCCTTTTTAGTTCATTCCAGTTGCTATTCATCTTTTGGGTGTCTGCTTCTAATCTTCGACTCAGTGTGTTCTTCGGTTTTCCTCTTTTCCGTTTCCCTTCAGGATTCCAAGTTGGGGCTTGCCTAGTGATGCATTTTGATGATTCCCTTCAATGTATGTCTTATCAACTTTTAGCGCCTTTTCCTAATCTTCTCTTCAGTTGTGAGCTGTTTTTTCTACTTCCGCAATAGGCTGTTGCTAATTCTATCTGACCAACGGACATTAAGTATCTTGCGTAGACAATTGTGTATAAATACTTGTACATTTTTTGATTGTCATCGTAATAATTATTAAATTGATATAAATAGTTTTGTTACAACGAACTATTCTCAGTAGATTGATATTTTTCATCAAATTCCTGACTAGAGAATAATAGCATTTTTAGTAACAAGAGTGTAAAATATTAAGTTCTATATGGTCGGTCGATATTCGGTTGCAAACTGGAGTGATCTTGTTTTTCTCAAGTCACTTATTATGTATAGCTTAGTGCACTTGTCTTTGAGTCATACTTTAAAAAAAAAAGTCTGGCATTGTTACTTGGTTCTTCAAATTAAAGTAGGTAGAGCAGGGTTAGAACCCATTACTCACTAGCTAAAAGTTGAAAGCTTTGATCACACCCGCCTATGCAAGCTATTTTGTAAACAGCATTCAAAACAAAACACAAAACAAGACCAAAACAGTCTGAAATCGAGCGAAATTGTCTCTTCAAAACTCATGTTTGGAGCGGTGAAATTTCTACAATATTCAGTCGTTAATAAGTATTGAAATTAATGATGAACATTGACCTAACAAATAATGATATCGTACTTTTTGCTAGATTATATTTTTAGTTAAGATATATTCAGGGGAACTAAAATATACTTGTCATTTTTCTCAGTAAAACAATAATTATAGAATTACAAGTATAGGGGTTGTGGAGATTAATAAGTTTTTGATTGAGATCATGAACCGATTGATGTTAGACCACTTTTGGAAACCTGGAAGCACTGCTGAAGAGTCCCATGCTAGGACGAAACGGCCGTTCAGTGCTTCCAGGTTTCCGAAGGTGGTCTAACATCAATCGGTTCATGATCTCAATCAAAAAAATTATAGAATTATCTGATTCTATACTTGTGTATATACGGTTGACAAGAACTTATTAATAAGTTTCCAGTTACTGTATCAATATCCACTGTACTTAATCCTGGATATAAAAACAACTCACGGTCGAGGAAGATGAATTACACTGTCCACAAGACTGTAAAACTGACTATCTGATCATTATACAATAAATACAATAGTGAAGATCACGATCATTTCTTTTTAAATAATAACATATGATAAAGATGTTAATTACTGCTGAGACAATTAGTGGTAATAAATTATTTCTTTTACTTACAATTTCAACTGGATTACTACCATTCAATACAAATCAGTTAGGTTATATTGATAAGTTGAAAAAGTATACCCGAGTAAACAAATAGAAATTTTTATTTAAAACCATCAAATACTTTCAAGACTAAATTATCATATTAATGAGTAAACTGTAAAGAATTTATTTGTCTTATCTCTGCATTATAATACAGTGAAAAATCGTATATGTAAGATTTTGGGGAGTTAAAATTAGCTTGTCATACGCGGTCTAAAAATTCCAGAGTAGCAAGTTAAGAAAATCTTTCTTTAGGAAAAGAGAGTCATAACTAAACACAAATGTCCTATCTTTCATTATGCTTAATGCTAATTGAATTACGGTCATATCTGAAAGCAAGAGATCAGAACAGTTCCAGTCCATGAATTCAGTAATCTCTAGTTTGTACTAACGCTCAAGTTGTGTTTGTAAGAACAATTGGATTTAGTGATATACCCCTGAGTGATTAAATGGGTCGAAACCGGTCTTAAACATTCTATAACTACTGTTAATTATTCTTTTCTTAAATATTGACCCGCTTTCCTTCATGTTCTGATGTCTTCTCATTCTTTTGGATTTTCTCTTCATGTTTTACTGTTGTTCTCAACGTTCGCGAAAGGCTCTGCAATGAGATATCTATCTGTTCATAGTTATACTTTGCTAATCAATAGTAACCATCTCTACGACATTAAAGTTGAGTAGAAAGTAGTTAAAGCAATCGTTTATGAGTAAGTGACACTAATTTCATCTTCACAGATAAATGAGTCTTAAATATTTGTCTCGATTTCTAAGCTATTTTTTCCACTCATCGATCTATCAATAAGTATGGTGTCATGTGAGAATTTTCGTCTAAATTTGAAGGAATATTCTCACAGTATTTGGGCACCGAGTTGATGTAAGACATTAAGTAGAAAAAATGTATTTGTGAAATCTCAACGAATGAATTTGAAGTAAATTCAACGTTTCGCTCGGCAATCTGATCCAAGATTTTTCAAGGAAATATAATGAAACAAAAATGATCGAATATCATTACTACATATTTTTCCACAGTTCTATGTGTTAATTATTTTCATCTTTTCTTTTGTAGACTTAACGGCCTTACCACCGGCGTTGCCTAGCTTCACGAATATTAAACAAGATGTATCCCAGTTGGTCGATTCTTTATATAATGGTATAATGTCGACTGGCACGTATTTCGGTTTAATAACTGGAGAAAATCAATGTAAAGATAAAAGTAAACACCAAGTATGTTGTTTTTATTTTGTTCAAAAATACAGTGTTGAGAGGATCTAGTTTATTATAGTTATTGTTATAACTATAATTGCTGTAGTTAAAACTCAGATGAATAGATTTTCGAATTAGTATGCACGGTTTTTGGAAATTGACCAACTTGTGTTCACCGTTTACATCACCAACTAATCTTAGTTAGATAACAATTGAAGCGAGATGATCCTCAAAGTTTAAATTAGAAGCCATGACTAATGAAGTTCAGCCGTATCAGGTGTAAAACAGTCACTTACCAGTGGCATCGAAAGCTGGTCGCGCAGTACTGTGGATTGATTAGGGTTAGGAGCGTGAACTACTGGATATCACCTCAATGGTCTAGAGTTCGGGCTCTTGATTTGATGACTGAAGTTTCTGGGCTCGATATTTCTGGTAGGGTCCGGAATGCATACTGCCAGGAAGTCCTATACTGTGACAAAGCAGCTGTTTGATTTTTTCTGGTATTCAATGATTGTTTAGCTAATGTAAACTGCAAAAAAGCTTCAAATGCTTATCCTACCATAGCATGTCTGTTAGTTTTACGGTCCAATAATTTGCATACTAGACTATCAGCGATTGAGTTACTAGTAAGTATTTACTTTGTTTGCAAATTGAAGAGTAGCAGCTTAAAACTTATGAATAAACTCAGTGTATAGTTATGTGTCAACAAAATTAAAGTCACTTGTTGTTCACAAGTTTAATTCCAAATTTTTATAGTTTGTGCTGTTCCAAAATTTGTCTGATCTTATGTAATTTTGATCCAGAATCGATAGAATGCTCTAAGTGATAAAATTGGATTGATCCTGTCATCATAATTTTTTAAACTAATTATTATCAATTGAGATGTTGGTAATTCATAAATTGCCCAATAAATACATTAACTAAGTTCCTAGTAAATTTACCTCCTGAAAATTAGCGTACCCCATTCCTATCCCATTCGAAATGCTTCTTATTTGTAACAATACACTGTTGGGATTGCTAAGTCCCCAGAAGTATCTTATTTTCGTTCCAAAAGCCACCCACTTGGAAGGACCCTGAATGTCATTGGTTCGTTTCCTCTTTTAGTACGCGATTTTGTGACGTTTTTCAATGACATTTTTGCACTGTATGGATATGCATGAGTTGTGCGCTCGTTAATTTATGCTTCTGGCTACGCGTAAACTATGTTTTTTTCCGGGCCGATTCTGGTCTTCTTTCTAGTTAGTAGAGCTGGGACTCAGTGGAATAGCTTAGCTTGTCCTGTTATTGTGTTGCTGACTTCGTCCCGTTTCGCTGTTTCTAGGTGATATCGTAATCTCTTCAAACGTAGCATACACTTACCCTGTCTCCATTTTTATTGTTCATGACTTCCTTAGACGTTCAAAAACTCAGACTCTTCAGCTTCCTCGTCGCTTCAATTTTTGTAGAACTATGTACATAGATGAGCTTAATAGACTTGGAAAAGCTGTTTTCTTAATTGCGTTATCTACGTAGTCCTATCAACACTACATAAACATTTCTGAGAGATTTTTCAAACTTTTGCCTTTGATCTTATAAGCTCAGTTCGTTCATTTATCATCAGACAAACGATATTTTATACCTGTACAAACATCATAAGTACCACTAGGTTTATAATTCATTCTAGTGTTACCTATTTGTGTTTCACTTATCACTCTCATCAATCCTTGTTCTCTGTTTGATTATTCTTGTTCTTTATCATTATTATTATCATCATCAGTGTACATCTTTTGTGCTATCGTTCTGACTGATATATATATATATATATATATATATAATTATATATATATATATATATATATATATATATAACTTTCATCAAAGGAATCCTTTTCAACTATTTACTCAAAACTAGATATTTATTATTCCATAATTACAACTCATTCTATTGATATTCCAACCAACAGTTGGAGCGGTAGCGTGTTGGTTATATCATTCAACTGTCAATCAGTGGATTATAGTTCCGAATCCTCCTTCTACTTCTTTCCATTTGGTCAAGCAGATAAAATCACTGTTGAAACGGTTTCCGAGAAGCACAACGGAGTCTCCAAAGGCCCAAAAGAGCCGAAGAGTTTCCACCCGATCAGAACTTTATGGAGCTTTCTAGAATATCAACGTGGCATGCTACGATTGGACGGTAGCATAACTTACCTCCTTGTAAATTGGCTGAATCATAATGATGTTTTGACAAACACCAATATCTATGAACACCCATGATTTACCGTACATTTCTGATTCTTACTGAACAATCACTTCTACTTCTGTCTTCTGATTTAAGACTGTGGGGTTCTATACGTTCGAGTGCCGTTATTTGTATATCGTATTCTGCGTTAATTAAGTAATGAACGTAACAATCACTAATTTTGAAACCAAAAATTTAATTGACAAAAATAATATATTTTTAATATCCTAATGAGTGGTAAAATTAGGTTTTAAATTTTCCGACGTCTCGTGACTTAATATAAGCCACTTCTTCAGAAAATAAAATTTAATGTGCTTTTATACATGCTACATACATTTGTTGTATTTCCTGATTAAAAAATTGGTAAACCATGTCCATTTTTTTGATTATTTGTAAGATGTTTGTGCATGATTTTCCTAGTAGTTTTAGATTCAGTTTTCGCATTACATTTTTCGTTAACTTTTCGTGGTGTCTAACTAGTTTTCTTTGCTTTTTTAATGTAAACGTAGATTATTGTATGACAATGAAAAATTTATATTCTAAAGGAAATATTATGAAGAAATTCTGTTGTTTGAATATTATAAAAGCACTATTATCATGACACAAAACTGATACATACATTTTGTGGCTGATGGGGATATTTTAGTCAATCCTTCAAAATTCACTTGTACTAACAATCAACAGTAATTAACGATACATATTTAACAAACAAAATCAGGAATAGAACTTTTTAAAATTTAGTCATGTTAGATACAATTGTAATAAATAAAGATTTGGGTATGTTAATCTAATTTATTGTGTTGTGCATAATCACTGAGGTGTCCTACAATAGGACGAAACGACCGTGCAGTGCTTCCAGGTTTTCCATGGTGGTCTATCTTCAATGGACTCATGATCTCAACTATCAAAATAAAATGCTTTAAATTCACCATTTGCTCAACTTCCTTGAATTGTCTCTTACAAACTTCGTTTTCCCGTTGGTGTTGCTACTCTGTCTTTGATTTTCTTTCTTGTGTCTACATTTTCCTCTTCTGTCGGTAAGAATCCGACTTCCAGATCCTGTCCATATAAGTAGCACACACCGCAACAGTTGAGACATATTTATGAAAGCTATTTCTGAACCTATCTGTAGCTGTTGATTTGGTTATGTAGTTAGACTTAAGCTATATTGTCTGGGATACTTGTTCAAGTTCCTCCCATACCAGGCAGTTTGGTTAGAGAACGATAAAATGAAAATACGATGCTCTAGTTTCGAAAATGAAGTATTGGCGATTGTACCCTGGTATGATGATATCAAAGTGTTTCACGCAGGTAAAGAGAACCTCTAGTCATGCTGTTTTACTGCAGTCATAAGGAGTAATTAAAATGTCGACTTTCAAAATACCAAACCCTCTCTTGCTCAGTATATTTCCAATGTCAAGTATAAGATTTGTAAAATGAGGGGCCAGCACAACAAAAATCATTTATTCAGAGGTCTTTTTTAACCATTATTGATCACTTATCCCTTTAACATTATGATCACCCCAATAAGTTTAGTATCCTACTGTATATAATTTAAAAATCGAAATATTCTCGTCCCATCTAAAATGAAATTCCATTCATATAGAACATGTGCTACATTGTGATAATAACAGGGACAATTCGGTAAGTGATTTATCAGTTTTAAGTATCAAATTTATACGCATAACTGACTTAGTAAATTCATTTTTTAAGTTAACACAACCGATATTTTAAGCTTGGTTAAAACATCTTATTCTAAAATTTGGTTAATAATTTACCACATTTCAAAAATATATGTTAATTTTACACGTCATGTGAATGTACATTGTTGTACGTTTTTTTCAAAATCTTAATCAATCTAACCATTTCAAACACGTGTTTGTCTTTTATTATTAAATTTATTTATGTAACTAATTAAATATATTTTTTGCTTCAGACTCGTCTTGATTTACTTAGAGCAGATCCTGCAACATATGAATTGGAACCACCAATGCCTCCAGCATCGTCTGGTATACATTCATATCATGATTGGAGATCAGCGTATTTTGATGAAGATAATTGTCAACCAATGAATGGTGTCCTGTTAGCAAATGCTAAAAGTCATGAATATAGTAATGTTCCAATTGAAGAACTTACACAAGCACCACATCCTAGTCCTGAAGAATTATTGGATTCATATCCTTTTATGCGAACATATTTAACTCAACTTGTTCATCCAGATGGTAAAATTAATGATAAATCTATGAGTGATGCTGATTTCTGGTCAAGGTATTACTATCGTGTATGGTTATTGGATTCAACTGAATTTCATAGAAGAAAACTTAATGAACGAGTTGAATTCGTCTCAACTGTCAAGCAAACCATACCGAATGAACCTACTCGGTATGCTAACGATACCAATGAAACCTGTAAAAATCTAAATGTTACTCAAGATGATGAATGGCCAGGTTTGCACTTCTATCTGTTTTCTTAAAATTTCAACTTTGGATGTTTCATGTACTTAGTACAGCAGATGAACAAGGTGACAACATTATACTATACGTACGAAATTAAGTGACTGTAAAAAAAGCTTGTGAGATTTCACACAGTTATTAGCCAGTCAGAATGTCTGTAACATAAACAAATCATTTACCGTGAAAAACCAATAAGTTTAGGTTTAGGATAAATACTTTACTTGGTTTTTAATAAGTATAAGCTATTTGTCAACTCGTTTTGAATTTGACGCAGAAGTCTAACAACCGTTGTCGTAAATTCATTTTGGTCTGTTGGTGGAGTATAGTTCCACCGTCACATATCTATTACTGTCATTAGAATGAATCTAGGATTGTGTAGTTCTACAAAAAGATTATCACTCAATCTTTTTAAGCTTGGAAGTTTTCCAGTTTTTTAAATTAATCATAGTTGGATCGTTCTACTATCATATGATCTGCTGTTGGAACGTTGTTGTCGCAAAGTTGAATTCAAGACACAAACACAAATATTACTAAACAAAATAAAGAACATAAGAATGTTGTTTGGTTTACATAAATAAGCTGCGCATAACTTTACCAAAATAGTAAGATCTCTGCAAGTATCATGTCATATCTAGTTGTTTTAGATTGTAATCTGGTGTAATAGTGATTGTATATTTTGTGCTGTTTTCTAAAACTGGATTTGATTATTTTCCGATGCTAAATATGTCTCTCAGTTAGATTATTGAACAAGACAATATAGTTTTAGATTAACATTGAGGTTTTGTCGAGATTGCAGAATTTCGGAGTTTACATCACGAACTGATCCTATTTAGAGGATCATTGAAAACCGGCAAACGATAAACAACTGTTTCATTCAAGTATGGAACTGCTCAAGAGTCTACATTCATAACTGATAAATCTTCTAGTTGAACCCTTGAGTCGATTTCCTGAGCTCTTCTAGTAATTCCTAGACTAAATCTACACGACAACTTGAACACGATCGAAAAGGTGCGAAATATGGCAAGGACGCTTTACTCCAAAGTTAGTTTGTGTACAGAAAATCTAGGGTATTTATAATATCTCATATGATCTTGAGCTTCCGGAAAGTTGTGAAACCTTTCTAAACATAGAAGCAGGATCAGTAATCATCCAACCAGAAATCTGACACGTGGTTTTTCACTTTCTAGATCTTTCTGAGGAACTTCTTTTGAATGCTGGTTGGATAAGATGTTTCCCAGCGTTTTCGTTGTCCCTTTGAGCTTTATTCGAGGAATTTTTAGGGTCACCCTAATGACGACTCGATTGGGGATCGAACTCATGACCTTCAGGTCTTGCAACGATTGCTTAGTTTTTAAACTATTTAAGAAGCAGCCGCTGGTTTGATTTTTTAACCTTGTTCAGTTCACAATACTGCTCAACCAATTTCCAATGTCATCGGTAAGTAACTGCTTCACACTTGACTTGGTTTCAATTCATTGGTCATGGCTTCTAACCAGAATTCCGGAAATCGCCTCTCGAAATTAGTCTACGGGACAAAATTGCTGTGTGGTGCTTTCTGGTTTTGTATGTGTTGTTCGACGAAGGTCAGTCCTCAATTTTAAACTACAAATAGAACACTAATCACCCTATAATCATTTTTCAGTGTTCATAGATTTTTTTAATTTCTGTACCTGACATCCACTAAGTGTTAAAAATAATCCAAAATAGTGTATTGAAATTTTTGTATTATAATCAAGTATCGACTCCAGTGTTCTTTGGAGTTGTTAGTATTATGTTCAAGGATAGGAAGTTAAGCACACCGTAATCATATGGTTTTCTTACTTATTAAATTTTTACAAGTTATTATCATCTGACCAGCTAATTGTCTTTAAATACTTATCATATTAATTCTATCTGACATACGCATATATATATATATATATAGATATATATATATATATATATATATGATCCAGGTCATCATTAGTAAATGGTATCCAATTAGTAATATCTCGATTATTCATTGCTTGTCGTTCGAAGTTGAATATATCTGAAATACGATACTGAGACACTCGTTCCCTTGATTCCTACCACATTGGTCAAGTCGATTGGAGTGTGGTCAGACTGAAAGCGCCAAAGTTATTGATCAGAAGACCAAATCATACTGTTAGCTACTGAGGTATAATCGACAAAATGCTTGGCTCGGACAAGCGTTCGCGGCACTTTACTTACTACAATGGAAAAACCGGTTTAGCAAAAGTGTGCTTTGAGAATAGAACATCTCACCTTGCTCCGCGGATATTCGCCGACGGCATCAAGGCCTTAAATTTGGGAGCTAGCACATCTGAAACTACTTACATAAATTCAGTGCGTAACCGGCCTCAGACACTTTCTTGGGCAGTGCAGTCACATAAGCAGGTTATCAAGACCACCTTAAACCCAAGTTCAGTTTTTGTTACCTCAAAAATCAGTACCCTCCCACGGTATGGGCGACCAGAGAGTTACCACTGCCTTCATTATTCCTAACATCAATTAACCATTAGACCTAGGGGTTTAAAGTATCATACACTCGAAATACGTAGTCGTTCCTTATTTAATACAAGTATTTTACACGTTAAAATTCGAATAATCAAAAACTATTTTCAATTATTGCTGATTAGTCGTAACCAGTACATTTTGATTTTGGTGCACTTTTTATCAATCGTTTGCACTTTGCTTAAATGAATAATCACTGAAAATTCACTGTTAACGATAATGATTTTAAAATTCTCATAACTAACGATTGGAAATAGCATGATTTGTATGATAAATCACTGAATAGACCACTGTAGATGACCAAACGGAAATCAAATTAAATTTCATGCGAATGACCTTAATCATGAAAAACTTTCACGTTAAGAATAGTCAGTTGGAATAAGTTATGGCATTGCTTTTTTTCAAGAAGTGATATTTTTAAAAAAGCTGCTTCAGTACATTAATCTTTCCTAACGTTCATTCTTGAATCTATTGAGTTTATCTTTTTTTCAACATCAGTTCAGTACCAAGTCGATGATAGAATGGAACCTTTTTCACTAGGATTAACGAATGCTAAACTTATATTACCAAAAGAAGTAGGAGTAAATCTTTTGAAAGTCATAAATATTTCTACCTGAGGTTATCTGCAACATCTTCAGTGTTCAACAAGCGTGTCGTCTGTCACTATCCTTTTCCGGCGATGTATTCGTATTTAGTTTGACGTAGTGATTGGGTGTTTCTAGTCAAATTACAGTGATTGTATCGCTTCATTTTTGAATTCTCACTACATCATACAAGGTTATTTTTGAAAAGGCGAAACAAAATGAGGCAAATTTCAGATCTAAGGAGAGTAGTCTAAAACCTTCACCATTTGTTTTGCCAATATCTAAAAATTTAATTGCAATAACAAATGAATTCTAAGAAAGTCATTGTGATAGAATTCGAATACTTTTATTAGGCGAAAACGAATTAAATGTAGATTTATAAAATATGTAGGTAATCACTGTGAACAGTAATGACGGTCAACAAAAGCCAAGCATAGCAATGATAGATAACAGTAAAATAGTTGTTCAACATTACCGAAAATGGTCTTGAGTTAAAAAGGCCAGCAACTTATCCGATTCGAATCATGTTATCTCATTACTAGATAGCTCACATTGTCATCAAGTTTGGTGATGTGAAATAATATGTTGGTAGTTGTGGTCAAGCTTGTTCAGTATCTCATGTGTCGTAGGTGTATATACTCTGTGTCTTCCCTTAAACTATGAGATTAAAATTGCTTTATATCTTTCTTTCTACCAACTAATTCTTTCTGTACTATATCCTTATATGCAATCTTTTATGTATTACCACCATTGAATTAACTACTATGAATTTAGTGTTCACCTTGTTATGCTAATGAAGTATGGCAACTTAGATCGATGTATATATGTACCTTGTCCTACGTTGTAGCCGACTGACTGACTGTGGTATTAATACGGAACCTAGAAGTTTTGATTTGATCATTCTTGCTACCGACCCGCTTAAATTGTCTTCCTAGCTAGTTCTGATATCCCCAACTACATCTGTACGTCAACTGAAATGCTACAGAAAAGGCGCGAAATACGAATAAAAGCTTTACTCCAAGGTTAGTTTATGAGCAGAAAAATGAGGGTGTTTACAGTGTCACGCCTGTCCTTAGATTTCTGGAACCATACTAAAAACAGTAGCAGTACAGGTAGATATCCAATCACAACCGTGACACGTGGTTCTGCATTTACTGGATGTTTCTGTGATGATTATACTCAACGCTGATTGGATAAAAGGCCTTCTAGGTTTTCTGGGCCTCTAAGAACTTTGATGGGGTGATATTTTTGGGACTCTTCCAACATGATTACACTTCTCAAAGAAGTCATTTGTATTTAGGCAATGATCTTAAACTATGGTTTAAATTCGTTTCAATTTCTCTCATATCCATTAGATAGTGATGATCATACAACCGTGGAGAATGAATCAGAAATTTCAAATGATGAATTCATCACAAAATTCTGTGATAATGATACTACTATTACTAGTACCAGAAGTGATTCGCAGTGCAGTAGTAGATCTTTCAATCACAACAATAGCATTGAAAAGAAAATCCGCCGTAATAGTGATAGTAGTAGTAATAATAATGATAATGAGAAATCAAATCACGAAAGCAAGTCTAAAAGAAAACATAGTTACAGAAAACCATTGAATAAAAGCAAACACTTGAGGAAGTTAAGTTGTAACAAGAAAGAAAACTTGTCGGATAGTCTTAAACCGGACACTATAAAAGTCGAATGTTCATCTACTCTACCGGTAAGCAGTCTCATTTGTATTATTTTAAATATGGTGAGCATGTTAAAGTCCTAGAGTTGACAGCAATTAACGTTACAAGTTAGTAAACTATGTACATATGTATGCGCTAACTAATTCGTCACTTACTTGGAAGTGACAGACGTGATTGTTATGATCTTTGAGTTCTTTGAGAATTCACAGTCGTGACCAGAATGTAAAAGTATTTTGAGTTCTTAGATAATAACATCGGATCAAACGAAAATCTATGACGACTATATATACATATGCCGCTCGTAATCTGACCAAACTCTGGAAAATGTATTAGGACAATACAAAATGTAGAATAATACCTCGAAGTAAAGAAAAATGCTCAAGGTAGCACTCAGCTTTATAAATCAAACAATTTTATGACTGTTTAATATAAATAAATTATATAAACCTTGCAGCTGTCTCCAATTATTATTATTTTGTGCTTTTCATTTTTCAATCCCCTTTTTCGAATCATTAGCAAACTAAAGCTTGTCATATTCGACCATCTGTGCACAGTGAGATAAAAATTACCAAGACCAATTTCTAAGTAGCAAAAATAGTATCCGTATCAGTTTGTGAAACAACATAGTATAAGTATTTTAAAACTAAGGGTCTCCTTCCTTCTAGTCAAAAAAGTTGGTGAAGCCTAGTGGGCCCTTCTGGAGAGAAACAGGCCACATCAAAGCACAGCACAACTACCAGGGCTAGAATAGTTGTTTCTGCAATCCTTTGGAGTTTGCCCAATGACGAGCAACTCCATATGATAGATGCACCACTTTCGAGAAACTTTTTTGTCGTTTTCCATTCCAAATGTAGTTGTGCTATGTTTATCTGTGGAGTTCGTAATCGTTTGGTGGGTATAGGTAAGAGTAGGTGATTAGCCCCATCCCTACCACCCGGGTTACCGCTCACGTTAGTTCATGAGTCATTCGTCTCATTATTCAGGAGGCACGACGCGGACGTGTGAAGCGGATTTTGCCGAAGGGAAAACAATGAATGAGTGGATCTGAATCCCTGCGACCGATTCAGGGTTATGTCACTTAGCTTATCCAACTACTGGTTGTGATAGTCCTGCGGACCCTAACCATATAGTCTGCAGCTACCTACACTGCTCATTTCAACAGTTAGTGACTTCATGGACCGACGTCACATCTTGGTTTGGTCGCTCCCTAACTTTCTTACAACTTACTCCTGGATCAGTTAACATTCCACCTGGTTAGGCCTACGTAACAGATGTTCAAAATGCCTCATTAGACAAAGATTCACAATCTCATCAGCTAACCAGCACCCTTGTGTTAACCTTAGTATTGCTTACCCGACATTCACAATGCAATTCAAATAATAGTACCCTACCATTACTGTCCATTTTTAAAGACCATGTTTCACAAACATGCGAACTATGATTTCGAATCATATAGAAACTCTTTTGTAATTTATCCTACCAGACTGTCGAAAGCTTATAAAATATATCAGTTACTTTATCATTATAAATATCTTGTTATTAAAAGGTTTTATTCTCAATATAATTTCGTTGTCACGTAAAATATATACATATATCATATCTGAAGATATGGATTTTTGTTTTAACAGTCATGTTGTTATTGTATTTTCTAATCAATATATTCAACGCGAGAAAAAAAGAAAGTGAAAATACTACATATATCCGTAAGGTGTGTATTTCAAAATGAATTAGAAATCGCGTGATATTCTTCTTTTCACAAGGTACATAGTGTTAGCACGTGATTGTTCAGTGATATTGAGATCACGAATCAATCTTAGTTAAGCAATCATTGAAAACCTGGAAGCGCTAAACAGATAAGTAATAAATTTGTTTATAAAAATTTACACTAAAAGTGCCTCCTTCACGTGGATTTGTCCATCATATCTGATTGCCTGAACTATACATGGATCATTCAGTATGTTGAGATTATTCTTATACAAAGCATTTGTTCGATTAGCAATATAAATTACTAAGTTGGAACAATGTCAAATTCTTACAACCTAAGATCGTTACCTAAGCTGGCTCAGATTGAATGTCTTATTTGTTTGTCTTTTTTAAGTCAATGGTAATATCAACATATTAGGCTTACTGATAAGAGGACTTTAAAACAACCGTGACTAATTTTAGCCAGCTATTGGTCAGTAAAAAAGCAGTTATTCTAAATCAGTACTTCATGGAAGCAAACCAATCACATTACACAATACAAACATATCTTACATAGTGAATCCACTGAAATCTTCTATACCTTTTTTCTGTAAATTGAAAAACAATGACACCTAACACTGCTCTTATGGATATAAAAGATCCGTCATCTCGAACCGTTGTAAGGCAAATAGATTCTTATAAGTCTGTTCTTGTTTATAGATTTGGGGTTTTATATTTAAAATTAGGATCCAGGAGTATTGCTGATTTGTGTTGTATATCCAATCTGGGTTTAGTATTTTACTCTATCATGGCTAATAAATAATTCTCCATGATCATTTTGAATGTCCCAAGCAATCTACAAAGGTATTTCTACTGTTCATATACTATAACGTGAATTGAACACCACTTGTTTTTAGATTTCACTTCAAAGTTATTTTCTCAATTCTTATTGGCTCGTTTCTATACTGTACTTTTAATGCCTTTTTCTACGTTTTTACTTTCAATTATTATAAAATCATTAATTCATTGTTTAAGATAATTTAGTTTAATGGAGTAATAGGAATAATAACTTTAGGTTTAACAGCTGAATGGCAACCTGTTAAAACAATATATCGATCAGTTGTGCTGATCTTATTTCTGATTTGTGTTGATTGTCATGTAACTGACAACAGTATTTAGGTAAAGTTAACGTTTTTATTTCTGTATAAAAAAATATTTTCTATGATTATATGTATATATTTGTCAGAACACATTTGGATTTCATTCTACTATTGTGATCATTTCTACTTAAGCGTAGGATTTTTACTTTATATGGTTTGATCTTATTAGTCAGTCTTAAGCAACATAGAAAATTTTCTGTTCTATTCTATGTCCATTAACTGATCATTGAGTAAGTCATCAATGTCATGTTTGCCTTATCCTTTAGTGCTGATCCTATTCCATTAATCAAGTAGCAGTGTGGTTACTAATATGTGTTTCGAGATCATGTGCATTATATTGAGTTGTTCTTAAATAGTTGACAAGATACCTTGGAACTTGGCTTCTTGCTTTACGTCACTCGTCAACAAGCAGTATCTAACATCTTGTGTGAACTAATACTCTCTATGTTGTTATTTTTGTAACTCATGTTAGAAAATTTGTATCTAACGTATGCTCCTAGTGAAAGTAAAATATACTGGCTGCCTTGAATTAGCCCATCAGAGTTAGGATAGCGCCTCGTATTTTGCTCAAAGTTTGAAATGCAGTGATGAGTAACGCGTATGTTATTATTCACCAGGTGTAAATCGACAGTACTTGATCCTTAAAGTGCTTGAAATCAATGTAATTATCTATTATCCAACCAAAAAGTGGATTTTAAATAGTGTTTAGGCTAAATTACATAACCTGCCTGCTCTTAAAGCACGTGTTGTTCACCGCGTAATCGAGTGTTGAATGAGGCTAGATAATCTCCTGCCTTCCTTACTCTCAATCTAAACCGCAACCCTAAGTTTCTGAAGTTTGTAAACAGGAAGGTGACAAGGCTTTAAACTATTACTGATGTCAGTTCTTGTTGCAAACCTAACTCAAAGCTGCAGTTAAACTCTTTATACCTAACCTTAACCGCACCGCATCATAACTGATGTCAGTGGGTGACTGAAACTTTACGATATAGTCCTAACTCAACGCTAGTCCAACACCGAATATGAACGTATATACGTAAAATTGACCTTTATTCTTTGATACGAGCGATAATTTAACTTGTGAAGATTAACTGTCACGATCAAAGCTGTTACTCCACTGTTATTTCATTACTTTATTTTGTTAACTGTTTTATAACTAGGCAGCGTTTCCCAAATGGCTAATTAGTCGCCAAAAGTTTTCCAGTATATTATGCCTTTACCACGTTTCCCTTAAAAGAGAATGCCATTTCAAATGGAACGTGTTGAAGCTTGTAATCCTGCTTTTTAATATTTTAGACAGAAGACCAAAATCCAACAAATGTCTTGTCAGATTTTGAAGAAATGACATCTGGTTTATCATCAGTTGTGATACTTGCAGATGAAATGGAAAATGATGAAATGACAACTGCAAAAGCATTTACAACAGATAAATCAACCGTCCATTCTTCTGAAAGGTCTACTATTGAATATAAGGCATCAATTTCTGGTAATGTATCCTACTTTTGAAAATCATATTATCTTTATTCATAGTTATATCTTAACAGGTTATTTTGTTCGTTCCATTTTTCGCAATTCTTCAACGCTTAGACTAAATTAACTAAGTTTAAGAACGACAGGTTGTTGCTCGATGGTTGATGTAGAAGTTGGTCCAAAATATTAACGAGTGGCTGAACCAAACCAAGATTTTTAGGGTAGCTCAGTAATTAAGGTTTTTGAATTTCAACCAATACGTAAATGGTTTGTGTCTTACTCTGTCCATTTTGGTTTAAGCAGTCGAGGGTATAATCAGTATCCCTCATACTTAGAATGTAACTCAAAGCGAACTACACGAACTTGTACACTTGGTAAATGAGTCTTGGAAAAATTTTTCCATATATTTTGTCTGTAATATTTGTAATTTCAGATGATGAAGCTTGGAGTGATTCCGAAAATGAACGTAAAAATTACTCACTGGATAAAACCAATAAGAAGTCCACTGAAACTAATAATAATAAAGACAAGGCCGTCACAATTAAGAATTCTGAGCTACAGTTAACTGATGAGGTTTGTAATTCCGTTTCTTTCAAGCGAAAAAATTGTTTTACTCTGTTGGTTATTATGATTATTCTTAAAGATTGGATTCGTTCTTCTACAATTTTCTTTCGGGTTTGTGTGTGTAATTGGATTTGCCCTTTGGTTATATAACGTTATAGTATAATAGTGGAGCTGTGGTTTATTTAGTTTATGGAGATCGTTAAGTTCATCGAAATTTACATCACAAACTGATGTTATTTAGACAACTGTTGAAAACTAAGTATTTCATATTAGTGTGAGAATCTTCAGTAGTGTGCATCCACGACTCCACCAGGAATCGAATTGAGGACCTTCGAGTGTCCCAACTGGTCTTTAACATTGTTAGAGGTATATAGATTGGATCAAAGCATGTTCCTTACAAGATTGTGTTGAGGACGCTAGTTGGCTATTTCTTAACCAATCGGCGCTAGCGGAGACTTGGGGAAGACTCTAGGATCTTCTTATGTAAAAATTATAAATATACTAACGTTTGTCCTATTGTGATCCCTATTTCCAACTAACCATTTTTATTTGGAATATGATTACGTTCCTGTGCAGTCGTGTTCTGATTTGGGGACTTGTCGAGAGAAGTAGTGTCCAAGAATATCAAGCAATAGGAGTAGCTAGGTCGTAATAACAGAAATTATAACAAACATTTAGACCATTGGAGTGGTGTCTAGTGTTTTACATTTGTAACGTCAGTCTATTCGTTATATTACCCATCTTGTAATGTCATTTCTAAGTAACACTCGACATGACCGAAATCTGCTGGCCATGGCTTCTCACTAGAACTCCGGGAATAACTGCTCGAAGTTTGTCACTAATGCGTGTAAGGGACTAGGATAAAACAGTTGTCAAGTGTTTTTTTCTTGGTTTCCAATGTTTGTCTAAGGTCATTTAGTGATTTTAACGACAATAAATCCTACAATCTCTGTAAACCTTACACTAACAGTACATTCATCGAGCATTTCAATAATCGATTTAGTTTCGCCACTAATCGATTTGTTTATGTTAGTTATGATTCACATCATTTTTCAGTTAAACTGAATCCATAAGGTAAACTACCCTGTCCTTAACTTTGTATTTAAAGCTTAGAACATTTTACTTTATTCCACTCATTATCACTAATTGTTCAATGAATAATACATATGTATATTGACAGTAATCTGATCATAATTATTTTTACCTAAATTTAATTTTAGATTGATGATTGGGAGAATTGGTCATAAAAATATAATTAATCCCATAATTATTACATTGCTTGTTAGTTGCAGTGATTCATACTATTATTAACTAATTTTGTTGTTTCTTTTTATTGTAAACTGACATTAATCTGTGTGATAGATAACAATAATGACTATAGTAATTAATTAAAAAGCCAATAAAATAATGTGAAGAGTCCGTTCTTTATCACAAGAAAACTGACAACAAAATAGCCTAAAACGACCCATTATTTTTATGAAGCATGTGTACAACTCTGTAATAGATGATGATAATGATGTTTACGCTTACTATATTTTATAGAAATCTTGTTTATTTTTTCAATTGTACCTTTCTATATCTAACCATATGAATGATGACTTTTTTTATTTCTCAAACTTTGTCGTCTGCCAAAAGTTATTGATTTTGAATTTATTTTATTATTTTAGTGGTTGTAGTAAATTGTCACTTTATCGAGCTATTACACCGTCATCATCATAGTACTTAGATGTCATGATTTTATCCTTTGAGAAATCTATTTCATCGATCAATTCTTTTTTTTTCAAAAATAAATTCTTTCTTACAAGCGATTGAAAATTATTACAAAGAACAATTGTTTGTTAAATAGAAGTGTGGTTGGTCGGTTGATGCACTGTCAACTATATATATATATATATATATATATATCGCCTTGCACAGTGTTGCACGTGGATGTAGCGATCACTTCTATTATATGAATAAATTCAACAATACACAGACATTTACACTAATATTTTTCGACAGTAAAATTGTTCAGAAAGGAAAAATAGTTTAAAGGAATAAAATTGTGTTCTATTTGTATGGTTTTTTTTTAACAAGCATCATATATACGACCCCATAAAGAGAGATCAATTAATAATTTTATGAATAAATGCAATATTTAAAAGGGTAAATAAAAGTTACATAAAAAACAATCTACAGACTTATCACCAGTCGACAACAATAATTAGATTAAATTCTCCAATGAATCACTATAAAAATGATTAAAATCTAACCGTAACAATAACTGATTTAAATCTGTTTTGTCTGAATAAAGAGGACCATTGGTAGTAGCAGTAGTAATAATACCAGGTAACGATAATGATTCGAAGTCTCGACGATCATTAACAGCAGTATGGCCAGGATTGAAACCAACACTACTTTTAGCACCGGTTAAACAAGAAATATTTAATAAATCATACAATAATTTTGCTTGATTATAAAATTTATTCACCATCTCGTGCACTTCATTAGACAATTGATGATTATGGTCATCATCCATATTCATTAAGTGATCATTGTAGTATTGTTGATTTGATAAATCTACAAATTGACAGCAATAATTCAACAACTGTAATATACATAATTTTATATTTGGCATGAACAATAATGCTTGTGCTTGTAAACCAGCCAGGTAAGCTTCATGTGCGATTTGAATTAATTGGATTTCTTGATCACTATGTAAACGATGAATCAAGTGTGAGAATTGTGCTTCAATTACATCGACCTGTGAGGAAGAGAAAGAAATGAAGTGCGGATATTCTGGAAAAATAATAATAGTACCAGGGATTGTATGCCGATTCATCCGTAAGGCGTGTGGATAACCCAATTTAATATATTCAATCCAGTTTGCATTTATTTCTTTATTCATTTTATTAATTACGGTTTGTATGAGTGCAATGAGAACTATGACTCAAAAGTGTTACTAGTACTATTGACTGTGTATTGGTAGTGGACAACATTTAGTATTGGCAATATGATTTAAGAAAAAAAAACGATTAACTCGCAGTATAGAAAAGATAATATCATTTTCAAACTCAAAATCTAATGGAGAACAAAGAATGAATGCATTTAGCTTTCCTGAACGATTCTGATCCATTTAACCTAACTTCTCTAACCATTAACGATAATGGTTACATCAATTCCAACCACATACTTTAGACCTAACACTATGGCTCAATCCAAGTCAAGAACATTTTAGATTGATGTCGTGCCTTGATTTGGTCACTCCTAGCTTTTATTTAACCTATTCCTACACCGAGAAAAATAAAATTACATACTGGACTATCAAGTGTATTTGAAAATGGAACTAGATAGATCAAATAATTAATACGCAACGATAATCCCCCACGCAATTGGAGAGAAATGAGGTATCTGAGCCGTCAAAATTTCAGTAGAAAAACTCTGCTTATACACCAATAACTATTACCTTGGAACAGAGTTGCAAAATAAATGAGGAAGCAACAAGTCGGATATAGTACCAAAGATTAGTGGGTCAATATGAATTGAAAAAATGTTACTGAGGACATGGCACACGAGGATATCATTTGCTAACAAAAATAAAAACACTGGGTAATTTGAACTTTTCCCACACCATAAAAGGTAAAACATTTTTTGGTAAATTCTGATCATAGGCTAGACCATACAACAAATTTTGGACTCTTATTTATGTACCTTATTGTATATATTTGACTAGTTTTACATTTGCTTGGTCACTTTATTGTATTAATCCTATGAGGCTTATATCTATTCAGATTACGCATTCACAAATTGTTCTAGTTCAATTCATTAACATATTGCTTGGTTTGATCAGGTAATCTGAATACAAATCAAATATTACTATACTTCTGTTGCTTCCAATATGCTTATACGATTTTGATCATTTTCAAAGTGTATGAATACGACTAACAATTTGAATTACCTAGACATAAACAGTACAGATAGAAGAGAAGTGACTTTTGTGAATAATCATAACACTAATAGGAAACAAATAATATTCGACCAGTATATTTTAAAATGACAATGAAGATCCCCTTTCCCAAATATGATAGCAAACCAACCTGTAAATAATACTGTAAACTCTCAATAATAAATGCCATATGACTACGAACTAGAAGGCGTCGACCTATACAGGATTGCAACTTAATAAAAACGTTGGTTGGTGGTGTTTGATCATAATTTAGATTGGACTGATTACGAGCAGAGGTACGACGCCACAAAAGAATCTGATCAGCCCAAAACTGTTGTAATTTCAGTTGTGTTCGACGGATAGCGAATAGAAATCGAAATAAACTGTCGTAAGCACGACAAATATTAGGAGAGAATAAACGTTCGAACACCGGTGGAGCAATAATGCATAAGTGCAAACAATCCCAAACAGTAATATTTTCTGGCGATTTATTTGATTGAGCTGCTGTCAACTTTATTGAAAATCTAGATAGAATTAAAAATTTAAGAAAACTAAACTTTAAATGTGGAACGAAACGAGTGGTTTTTCAAATTACTGATTCAAGAATCTAAATTTAGTATGATTTTAGAAAATGCACAGAAAAACAATTTTTGTACCCAGTAACTTTATGAAAAGTCCTAGGACTGATTGAACACATCACTCGAAAGTAATGTCATTTTATGGTATCGCTTATCTGGTGAGAAAGTTGAGCTAAACTGAATTCCGATAAAACTAGGGAAATGACTCCGACAAAACTTATTACGTAATGGTAGCTGTTCATAAAGACTGTTGACCTAATCGAGTATTTGAGAGCTGAGAAGACTGTAGATGTTCGAAAACAATGAATTTCGGCCCCCTCTGTAGATGGAAGCTTCGGACGTGTTTGATTTGCACTATTCAGATGATTGCGATCGTTTGTACACACGATTCTCAAGCTACTGTTCACCTGAACAATGAACTTATCACAAGATAACCTAAAATGAACATCAATATTTTTCCTCCAACTGAAAATGAAGACGAATCTCCACCTTAGGTACAAGGTACAGCAGTAAATTTATTTGTGTCAATAGTCTCAATCTTAAAATATAAATCATATCAGCTTTGGGTGTCAGTCAGTGGGGGACGTGTGTTAACGGCGAAACCATGTGGTTTTCAACTGGTAGGCTAGTTTTAAATTTTGTTCCACCTACTTCGGTTTGAACAACTAGATAATGTCGCTAGATCCCACATATCTAGAATATGACGTTTTGGCGAAGTTGCGTTTACTTAACTGGGTGATTTGATCGTGAAGCTCTGATTTTCTTTCTAGACAACATAGGACAAATTTCATAAGGTGAGCTAATCAGATTTCTCCACTTATCACTAACGGCTTATTCCGTCAACTTTAACTGGTTGTTGGCCCATGTTTTATGATTGTCTCGGCACATATATCGATACTTTGAATGTAAGGCAATCAGTATCAGATAGTTGTTATTCATTTACGACACGGGAAACTAACAACTAGTACTAAAAGGTGCAATCATAATATAAAATGCTCTGAGTCTCCGCATCATTATTAATACAATATAAGTAATGATAGCCGATTCCCATCGTCTTAACACTTATTACTGACAATGTATACTGCTTATCTTTATCATATTTAGGCCCAGCAGAAACAGTGGCTATTCGGTAAGCTAAAGATTAGTTAAATAATAAAACCCACGTGAAGTATCATGTGTCTTTATTTACAAAATAATTTTTATTGACTGGTTACAACCTGATATTATATGGTTGTTGATTACAAAGTCACTTCATCAATGTTGCCTTTTATAGTACTATAGTGAAAGAGAACACAGGTGATGACAACCAAATGTATTTGTATACAAAATTACAGAATGTCTTAGTAAAATCTGAGAACCATACACTAAATACTTCATTTGCAAAATGTCAATCAATCGTCTCAGACTTGATTGTTCCTTCGTCTCCACACCAATCATTCTTTATTCTTGTCCCCTTTTCTTCGGTCTTCTTAAACTTCTGCCACCAGGCATTTCACTTTCGATTGGTGATACATACTTCATATGTCCGTCGACGTCAGTAGCACACACGACAGAACTACTAATAATTTTACATAACGATATAATTTTGCCGAACAAACCAACATAATTTTTAAAGTTAATTTACTCATTTTTAAAAAGTCATAACCAATTACTTTTTCTGCCGTTATTACAGTTACTTATATTTCATGTATATTGGTTCGAATTTTTACACCTTTAGATAACGAAGACAAAAGATCGAAACAAT